AAAATTTTACCAATGTGTTCGTAAGGCTGTTTCTATTGGATTGTAAACCAATTGCTCCTTCCGCTCGATTCTACTTATATCCTTAAACCGAATCGTCATGAAAGTATAGTGCACTTTCCGTCTACGGTTTACACGTTGCATTCTCTCATAATTGGATTGGAAATCGATCGAATATAAATTGCCGATGTGTTGAAAGACTTGGCTAAAGTTCTTGAATCTCCTGAAATTTTCCATGATTTCAAACTACCCTAAATTTTACAATTAAATCGAAAATGTTGAAATAAATCTCCACATTTTATTCTCTCTCACTTCCTATTCCTATATTCTGTATATGCATTTTATATATTTTCTACTTGAAACTTTTTTATATTCAGTTCATAAAGTTAAACTCAATGCCAACTTTTTTTATTATTATAACTACGAGGATTTCTATCCAACATCAAATTCATCTATGAAGTCTAAGCCGACATTATCTAGCTTTAAATACCCATGAAGGAAGAACAATTCGTGAAAAAAGCTCTGTTAAGAAGATTAACTGAATTGTAAAGTGGACAGTGAGATATATTTGATTTTTGTGCCGGAAAAATATTCAACATAAATGTATATACATATATATATAATGTTCATATCTCGTTAGGATGCTAAAATATGATAGTGGAACTGTGAAAAAAATCGTTATTCTCATTATAAAGACTTCCTATGACATTTAGCAGATTGATAACAGGCTAAAAAGAGGATTAAGACTTAATGGACGCCTTAAAAATAATAACAGAGGTTTCTAGCAGGTTATACAACCAACAGTTTTTTTTCAGCTTCAATTCAAATTCATATATAACCTTAATTGGATTTTATTAGGTTGTAATGAGCAGGATAAGGGTATAAATGGAGGCCTTAAGTAGGGTGACAGAGGTCTCTAGCAGGTTTTAATCAATTTCAAGACTACTACTGCGAGAATGTGTATTTCTTTGTTCAAATTTATTGTAAATTATTGCATAATGAAGAAGTTAAAAAATAATTAATTATTTAAAAAAAAATTTTAACCTCAAAATAAGTGAAATTGAATTTAGAGAACGATTTTTAAATTTTTTTTGTAAAAATCAGTGTGGCAGATTGATGGAGTGAAAATGATGATGACAAATTGTCAAGTGAGAGAGTGATTTAGACAAAAGAAAACGTAAAACCATCCACAAAGTAATTCCCTAGTGAAATAGCGAGTAGTCCTACCAATCACACCAAACCTCACCCGAAAAACAGAACAACGTTCGCGGCAATTCTCGAAATTAAAAATTAATTATGCATCGTTACCTTCCTCTTGAAAATTTCTCCTTCTTCAGCGTCGTAGGTTTTTTAATATTAAAATAAGACGGAAGATCTAAGTCTATTTTTCTTTATCTTAGCAGTTGGTTAAAAAAAGAATCATTTTCAATATTTCATCAAATTAAACAAATAAATATTTGTCTATTCTATTAACAATACTTATTTACCAACAGTTGGTAATAAACGAGAATAATATATTTTTAATAAAACTTTGTTGTGAATTATTTTGAAAGTGTTTTAATTAATTATCGTAATAGAATAATAAATGACCAACTATGTACAATGCTAGGGAAAATGTGTGTAAGTAGAGAAGTGAAATTGTATCCGAGATGAATTAACTATCGTCATACTAGATTATTTATTCAACAGTAAATGGATATAACTAGTAGTTCTCGGGTTCTATTGCTTGGTGGTCATGTAACTAGAAAATTCATTTGCATATAAATTTTAAATCAACGTAAATACAAACATATCTATAACAATTATTACCCACCTGATTTATTTACTAGAAATATGGGTGGAATCATAATAAGTCTGATCATAAATGCCTATTATCTCGAAAAAAATCAAGAATAAATAAAAATTGGGGTAAAATATAAGTGGAATTTCTTTTCTAAAATTTTACCCATGTTTCACTCGCTTTGGTGGGAGCCAATAGCTACCAGCGTGAGGTAATCAATTATTAATGGCTCTAGGTACATAATAATACATTTTCTTCCCTAGTGAAGAAAAGTTGACTAGCTAAATCACGTGTAAAATAATCACATAGTTTAAAATAGTCTTATTGTCTCCTTTAAAACTGAATATAATTTTTCATCATACCCGCGCGAAAAGTACAACCTTTCTCCAATGGAAAAGTGAATTTTCCGTACGGATATGATAAAAAAGAACTTAAAGAATTAACCTTAGATAATTTAAATGAGGTACTCTTTTATTTTTAAAGAATTCCATTTTACCCCAAGCATCCAATATTACCTCGAATTTTTTTTTCTATTTTCAAAGTCAATCTTGGAAATTTTTTGATACCAATAAATACCTCATTTCCTCTATAATAACTAATAATAAGAAAAAATTTTCAAAACAATTTTTTCGTTGACTTTGTCAAATCGATTTTTTTTACCCAAGTAAAAACCCATGAGACAGACAAAGCAAATTTATTTCTCGTGAGTTTTTCTCAGCATATAACCGGAAATTGTCCCGGGACTTCACCAAGCTTTTTTTATTTTATTTATTTTTTCTTATTTTCTCTTAAATCCTTTTTTTTCCCCCCTTTTCTTCCTTTCCATCCATACTATCACACTTCCTCTCTACAAGATTATAGTTTCGCAAGTCCATTGAGAGCACAAGGATTTTAATTTCTCTTGATATTAAAGTATAGAGTAAGAGAAACCACTCCCTTCCTCTCAACCTCCTGATTATCCTCAGTAAAAATGACTTATATATATTTTTATTATCAAAAGTGCTGCTATCAAGTACTTGTGGGAATTTTTAAAACTCATTTTCATCTACTTTTCTATTATATTTTTGCATTCATTTATTTTTTATTATATTAAAAATTAATTCTTTATACTTCAGTCCTATTGTTTTGTTATTTTAATAAATTTCAATCAATAACATTCATTGTTTCATTAATTGCTCTTTATAAACATTAAAAAAAAAAATTCGTATAATAGTTGACTTATTTTAAAACTACAAAAACAGCAAGTGTGCATGTCTCAAGCTATTTCTAGAAACGATCGAAGCATTATAGTATCGTTTGAAATAACCAAAAAAATACAAAGAAAAGTCTCAAATATTTTTCTCTAAAATGATTGACAAAAAAAAAAAGGGAATTTATTCTGTTAAGTTTGATTTAAAAAATAATTTAAAATATTATTAATTAATTTTAAATTAATCACAAAATTAGTTAATCAATGAATGATCAAGATTTATATGACTTTTTTTTTTTTTTAGAATAATTTAAATTATCATCAAATTGTAACAGCACACAAATACATCTCATTCCTTCAACGTCAACAATTGATCTTACCAAACACCCGCAAGTCAGTTAAGTTTCTAACTGCAATATTTATTGGGTCGAATAAACAAGATAACAGTGACATATACTGATAAATATGAAGCAAATTTATTTTACACACCATCAACGAAAATTTTCTTTGTTTTGAAAAATTTGTTATTTCCATTATTACATGACAATCCTATTATTATTTTATCAAATAATCCATAATTTCTATTTGCTCATTAATAATCCTCCAATAATTAAATAATAATTAATTAAAAATTTGTTTGTTTTGCTGATCATTGATTTATCATAATTTCAACTACCATTGGCAGGAAAAATATTTAATTACCCCAACATCTTTATTAAATTGGACCTAACATACTTAAACCCTAGAAAAAAATTTTCATTTTAATAAATAAAATATTTAATGATATTCAAATAATTGCAATGAATTTTTTTTTAATTAGTTTAATAAGTACCTTATTGATTAAATTAAATTTAAATAATGATTTTAAAACTCATCTTTCTTGATATTAATTTGCATAAAATAAAATTCATCATGAAATTAATAATTAATGATAATCGAAAAATAATTGAAATACTTTTTTTTTTACATCAGTTGAATAATGAATTGTAATTACGAGATGAAATGTTTTATCAGTAATTGTGATTCTCAATTTAAATCTAGCTCTACTCTTCTAGAATGACCCTTTTATCTTTAATGACACTCGTTCAGGTAAGTTGCAGTCTCCAACCAGTATCCATAGCTAGCAGATCATTATCAAGACTGTTTGATTAATATAATTATTATGTTGAAAAAATGGTAGAGATTCAATGGTATTGACCAAATCAAAGCAACAAATAATCGAAGATAAAAATAAAAAAACATGTACTACCAGCGTGAGGTAATTAACTATTTACCACACTAGTTGCACAATAGTACATTTTCCTCCCTAGAGAGAGGAAAAATGGATTTCTCCACCTATTTTTGAGTTTTAAGTAACTAAAATTGTTAAAAATACTTCAGAGGCTTTTATTTCTAACATAAACCAGTCTAATAGTATTTTAAAATTTTTTTTCCCAAAGAATACGGATACTAAAAACCTAGATGAATAGCAACCCTAACTCTCTAATCATCAATACCACCAAACATTTCCATTGATATTGGAGTTGATTAAAATCTGTGACTTCTAATCAACAAAAAGACCTCTACACCATCATCAAGGAATCGTTGAAGTATTAAGGTCACCAATCAAAGCGATATCACCATCTAGAAAAACAATTATATCTCCAAGAGTGTCTTCATGTCCTGCTACAATGAATTCATTCAAAGCAAGCACCACCTTTCTAGACTGCTTAAAATCATTCCCTGTACTGAGATGATCAATAAGTTTGATGTAGAATGGACTAGCTTTTTTATTGAGTATCCAATAGCATTATTATCATAGATGTTCATCATCAAGCTTAAAAAAATCTAGTAGACTTGAAGTAAAATAAAAATTGAAAATAAATATATATATAAATATTTATGATTTATATGTTAAAACATGTGGTTCCTTACTCACTCAGTCTGCATTAAGAACATGAAAATAGCCTGTAGGAAGAGAGAAAGGGGACATCTAATAATAAAGTCACCAACTCGAGATGCTTGTGGCATCTTTGTCGTGATATTCAACTCATCTAACACAAAAGTAACCTTCTTAACTTATTACTAATATCATTTTTATCAAACCAATATCTCTAATTAATCCCCAACATCATCAAAACCTTGATATCAAACCTATTAACACCCTAAAGTTGATGGTGTTGATGAAATTCTAGCTAGACAAACTATTTTTAGATGATTAAAATAATTTTTATATAAAGTAATAACAATAAAATACTAAACCAAAGTGGTAGAAGAAGTGAATTTGACAAAAATTCTTGAATCTAAATAAAGCACAGAGTGTATACGATTAATCGTTCTGGAGTAGAAAGCGAAAAATGGTAGTGGGGTTGGCTAAAGAAGAGAGAAGGAACAAAGAGTGAGTTTAGAATGGTAGAACAAAGTGGATCCAGTGCTGAAGAACCACAAAGTTCAACTATTCGCGATGTCTCGGCTCAAAAGTGTTCACAAACTCACAAAGTAAGTCCTAAAAATCCAACTAAATCCAAGAATCACAATAATATCACCAACAATGATACAATAAGTAATCGATTTTCTCTATTTCGTTGGTTCAAACGACCAGGAATTGTTGAAACACCATCAAATAATATTAATGAAAGTGTTTGTTCAAGTTCAGAAAGTGTAAATACATTTTACAGTACAGCAACAGTTAAAAGTTTTGCATTTCATTCACCAGAAGTTTTAAATCAATCAAATATACCAATAGCTCTAGATCTTTTGGATCATAATAATACGAGAGTTGGTCCATTTGGTGCTGGTGCTGCTAAGATTGTTGAAAAGAAAGGTAAAGGATCACTTGATGTTACCCGAACTCTACCAGCAGATGTTCTTTCAAAGAATCGTAATCTAACCAGCAGATATTCATTACAAAATTGTTCTCAAAAGTTTGGGTCATGTAATAACATCAATGAAACTGATATTAGCAATAAAAAAATTCTAACTAAAAGAGTTCATGTTAGAGGTAAAAGAAGAGCACCTAATCCACCGGTTAATGAATTTAGACCTCGAAGTTTTTGTGCTATTGAAGGTAAGTTTTATTTTAAAACATTATTCCAATGATTTTTTAATTAAAAAAGCCTCATTCATATCTAGGTATTGATGATAATCCTAGTCTTGAAGCTGCTAGAACCTTTGGAACAAGACGAAAGCAACGACGTCCAGCACCAAAGCCACCAGTGGAGACAGTTAGAGTAGAGGAAGGTATGGAAAGCAGTCGGATAGAAACAAAGTCTGTTGGGAATTCTAAAAATGTACTTCAGGGTCAAGTTTGGCTCCATAATAACGAGTCTGCTAATAATAAATCTAAAAAACCTACTGGGATGATATTTAAGCAGGATAAAAAAGCTCTTGCTGGTGATGATAATGATACTTTAGTACTTCAAAGTGGATACCTAGCACCAAAGAAGGAATCAACAGTACCAAGTGTCACTGAACTCCAAGTTTCTTCAGCAATACCTAAACCTTGGTACAAAAGAAGTGTGTTTGAGAATTCGATTAAAAAAACTGACAATATGAGAACAGGATTTCAGACACGAGATGAAGTATCCAATGTCGAATCATCAAGTTCCAGTTCATCAAAACGTGTAGATGATAGTTTCAATTCATCATCAAGATTAAGTTTCTTTAGGAATACAACTGATGATAAAAGAAAGGATAGCAAAAGACGATCTGGTCTGTCAATTCTAGCTAACATCAGTGAATTAGATAAAGAAGCAGCAGCTATTGTCCAAGAAGAGCAAGCCAAGACAAAGGCGTTATTTCTTCAGCAATCATGGAAGGTTAATGAGAATGAAAAACATCAAGAGGTGATTCAAGACATTGTTACATCTGCTATTGAAAGCTCACCTAGGAGAGGCACTAGAGCTTTGATATCTAAATTCAATGCTATTGGGAATATAACTAAAGTAACAGTGAACTCGAATTTTTTTAATAAAACTCCAACATCAAGTGCTAGAAATATTGATAAGAATAAAGATGATGGTAATGAAAAGGGTAAAAATGTTGGGAAGATTGAGAAGAAATCATTCGAACCAGATTTATCGAAATATTTTCCACAAAAGAGTATTCCACAGAGTCCTAGAAGTATTAGGAGTTCAATCAGTGACTCTAGAAGGTCTTTTTTACAGACAACATTGAATTCTAGCACCAAGTTTGATGGAGTTGATCAAAATGTAGCTACGGAATCTAAAAGAATTATCAATGATGTTACTAATCGGTTGTCAATACTCCAAACTGCTGTATCAAAAGGTTCTCAGCAACAGAAAATAGATAGTCCAGTTCTCAGACGTTCATCAAAGCCATCAGCTGATGATAAACCTAGGATTTATAACTATGAGAGTTCTCCAAAAGTCTATCGAACCAAGGATAATTCATTTAGCAGGAATGAAATGATTGCGAAGGAATTTAATGACATCTTTGAAGAAGTTGATAAGCAATTGAAGCTTGGAGATGATAAAGCAGCAGGAGGACAAGCAGATCAGGTGAGTAAATGTCTAGAGTATTTGATAAAGTAAAAAAGATTAAATAAAATCAATGAGGATAATTTCTAGATCATTTTCGCAGAAACAAAAGACACATCAGGAGTTGGAAGCAGCGAGTAAAGTGAGCAAGGTATTGGATATTCTAGTAGAAGCTGAGAAAGGATTGAAAAATGGTGAAGATAAAAAGTCGAAGACATCATTAATGAATGATAGAACGGATCAAATAACGACTGATCTAAAGGAGATGCTGAAGGAAATGAAACATTCATTACCAAAGAGACCAAAGCCTCGGAAGAGTATTGATTCCAGTTCAGAGTCATCAAAGCTTGATCAGTTGAATGTAGTGAAAATAACTAATCCACCTGTTTTGCAAATGGGACCATCAACATCATCAGAAGCATCAACATCATCAACACAAAAGGTGTCCTCAAGTGTCCAAACATCTGGGAATGTTCGTAGAATAGCACCATCAACATCACACCAGTGGAAGAATGATGATGTTATTTACCGTACCAGTGGAAGATCAAAGTCCAGTGGATCGGGACTGGTAAAGAATACCTTCCAGTTGATGAGACCCAGAGAATTCGCTGCTATTGAAGCTATAAAGACTTTAAAACATACTGAAGATAATGATAATACTTATGCTAATGTCATGACACAATCACTCTATGCTAATGCACTAGTGTTTTCGTCAAGGAATCATCGAGTTATTTCTAATGAATCATTCGAGAGTGATGGGAAAAATAAAACCAAGTTACCTACCCCTCAAGAAGATAAAATTCCAGTTAGATCAGCTGAACCTTGTGGTAAGTTCATTGTCCTACGTGCTATTTTTATGGTTTATGAATCAGTAGCTATACTTGAAAGCATCATGAACAATTCAACTAGCAATTAAATATAAAAATAAATCAAAACAATGAAATTAAAACGTTGATGAGATTTTTTTAGTTGGATTTAATAACCCTCGAGTCTGTTCATTAATGTCTAGAAGTGTGCTAATGAGTTGATGAGAACCTACAGGTGGTTGATGTCACCTGGAAGTGATTTAATTTATCTTAGATAATAGTCTAAATATTTTTTTTTAATCAATAAGAATTATTTAAGCTCATATGATGCTAAGTTGCTTGAGAGAATGAAAGAATAATAACAAGCATGGAAAAAAAAGACGATCGGATTCTCCGAAAGGTTTCCAATGACGCAGTAAATGAAGCTAGTGTATACAAGATGGTTGTTTACATGATGGTTATCGCGAATGATTAAAACCAAGGCCGTGAAACGTGTTGTTAGTACCACTAGACGATCCTAAGTATTGTGATTGGTTTAGAAAAAACATCGACGATTGTTTCTTGCTTTCAAACCCATCAGTGTCGGCAGTTCAATTATTTGAATCTCAACAGCTAGATTGTAAACGAAAGAATAGTTCTAATTAGTTGTGATAGTTATTAAAATTAATTAATTAATTAATATTTCCTAGATAATCAGAAAGATACAATGGCTACAAACATGAACACACTGGCTGTGAATCGATTGTTGAAAAAATTAGAAGCTTCTATAGCTAGTGGTAATCATCAACAAGCAGCAGAACAAGCTAAAGAGTTAGCGAGGCTTAAGATCCAGTGTTCAGTGATCAGACAAAAGCCAACAACAGGTGATTTAATTAACCTAGATATGTATATTGAAGATAGACTAGCTCATCAAGGACCAATTCCTCTTCAGGTAATGATAGAAAAGTTGTTTTAAACTCGTCAGTGATTGACAATTAATTGTTTTAATTCAATAGCTGCCACTAGTGACGACAGTGAAGCAGTTGAAGGAAAAAATCTTCAATGAATTTGAAATACCTGCTAATGTGCAACGATGGATCATTGGAAAGACTCTAGCTAATGATGATAATGCTACCCTAGATGATCTCAAAGCCATTGAAGGATCACCGGTTTTTCTCTACCTCGTTGCTCCTGGTAATAACCAACAATTATCATTCCATTTTGTTGGATTAAAAAAAAAAAGAATTATCAATAGTGAGAATGACTTTTAAAACAAACGATAATCAATTTTAGATTTACAGATCGTCGATACTGTTAAGCAAGTAGAACCCAAAGTGATTGTTATCGATGATGATAATGATGGAGATGATGATGATGAACCAGTTCAAGTTAGCAGTGATGATAAAAAGGTTGATGATGACAAAAATTATCCACTTCCAGTTATAGAATTGATAGAAGATGAAAAGAATGTAGAGGTATGATGTCTAGATGTCTCTTGGTTTATCATCACCTAAACCATCTGATTGATGAATTGCAATGTTTTATAGACAACGGGGATTGATGATGAAAATATAAATCAGCATGAATTAATTGAACAAAAGAAGCCTAATGAAGATGATAATAAAACCGCAGATGGTGTTGTTGGTTCATTAAACTTAACAGATACAGAACAATATTTACAGTTGATAATGCTAGAAAATTGTGAAATTGTACCAAATGTACACCCTATTGAATGTCCAATTTGTTTCAGTATTTATGGACCACTAGAGGGTGTAGTATTACGAGATTGTTTACATTCATTTTGCAGGTAATGTTATTAATTACTTCAACATCATTTACTTTTCAATAACATTTAGCTTCTGTAAATCATTAAATAAAATAATATTAAATAATTAATGATATTCAAATATTAAACAACACAGGAATTGTATTGAAAATACCATCAAACATTGCGATGAAGCTGAAGTTAAATGTCCCTACAGAGATTCAGAGTATTCATGTCAATCAACACTCCAAGAACGCGAAATAAAAGCAGTAGGTTTGGATGTTTAATCTACTATTGATTATTTAAGATGTTTATTTTATTTAAAATCATCATTTCAGCTGGTTAATCCATTGATTTATGAGCAACATCTAGCTAAGTCCATAACACAAGCAGAAAATAATGCTGGTAACAATGCGTTTCATTGTAAAACACCAGACTGTCCTAACTGGTGTCTATATGAAGACAATGTTAACAACTTTTTGTGCTCTGTTTGTAATAAAAACAATTGTCTAACATGTCGGGTAAATATATCATCACGACTTACTAGAATATAGTGTGGTTTAATGATCAAGCTGGAAGATGTTTAAATTGTTGATTGATTGTTGGAGAAAACTCATTCATTGGAGCCTGATTGAATTTGGATAACACTAGAGTCATATAGCATCAGTTCTAGATGATGATAAGATTGGATTCTTGTTGATTAAATTGGATCTGAATGTAATCTAGTTATTTTTTATGTTTTTCATCATTTTTATATCAATCATAGCTAGCTTGATCAGTTGATTAATCAGTTAGCAGCAATGATAATTAATTTGTTTGATTTCTGATCATCACGATAGGTCATTCATGAGGGAAAGAATTGTTTTGAGTATCAGAATGACGTAAAGATATCTCAGGAAACTGATGAGGAGTCTAAAAGAACAGCTGCTATGTTGTCAGAGATGCTGAGACGTGGTGAAGCAATGGCTTGTCCAACTTGTGATGTGGTCTTGATGAAAAAAATGGGTTGCGATTGGCTAAGATGCTCAATGTGTAAAACGGAAATTTGTTGGGTTACTAAAGGACCTAGATGGGGACCTGGGGTAATTGCTTTTACTTTGTTTCAATCTTTGGATTTAATTATTCGAAGTTAGAGCTAATATGCTGATAAAGATTATTCAGCACAAGTTTTTAATAGCTACTTATTTTTTTAGAAGATATTAATTGTATTGCTCACCATTTGTTGATTTCCAGGGAACTGGAGATACCTCTGGAGGATGCCGATGTGGTCTCAATGGAATTAAATGTCATCCTTGTTGCCACTACTGCCACTAATTCATAAAATATTATTTAAAAAATACAACTATGATATTAATCATACAAATAATATCAATAACTGTTTTGTTACATCTTCCGTAATCTATTGTTGAACTTCATTAACACTTTTTGATTCATTGAAAATAAAAAAAAAAAAACCATTTTATACTGTAATTTTAAATGTAAACTTCATTAAAATTCGTCCCGGTTTACTCCCACTTCGTCCATTGCATCAACACATCTACCAGTAGCGTCCATGAGTTTGTTTACTATGATAAAAAATAGGTTAGCGTCATTGTAGGTAATATCTTCATATGATAACATCACAGTCGATAACAAAATAGCGTACATTACCAACAGTAAATACTCAAGGAAAATACATGTTCATTGACAAGTAATAAGCATAATAAGTTGTTCATTTCTTTGAAATAATTCACAGGTGGCGCTAGTGTCGACATTTCTATTTTCTATGAATAAAATTACCAATTCATCCATTTAGAAACGATTAATATTAAAAATGTTAGAAATTAGTTAAAAAATAAATATAATGGTTGTATTAAATAGTAATGATAAAGTTGTTAATGCAAATATTAATAAAGTTGTGTAGGTTTCAATGGTAAAAACTCTAGGTCGATGTTCCCTTGGACAAATAACGCATGACACACACACGGGGTCGCTGATGTTGAAAAATACCACCACCATTATCGAAATAATTCAGTGATTGGTAGAAGCATTTTGTGAAGACCCCGCCCACCAGGTGGCTGTTCAAAAGTGGTAGTTGTGGTAGTTTCGTTACGACAACAGGCGCTGCTCTTCTAATCAAGAGAAAATACGAAACGTGTCGGCGCGCTAATATGTAACGGCTAAAAAATAAACGAGAGGGTAGTTCTCGCGCGGGTCTACCGGGGGGTGTCGAGGGTGACGCGCGTGGTGCAAATATCAGTGTTAATAATTAGTAAATAATAGTAATAATACTTTAAGATTAAAAAAGACAAAAGAATACAACCTACAATCCCCTTATTTCGGGATCGGTGTTAAAAGCTGTACAAGTGAAGTCATTTGACTGCCTTTAGTGGGCTTTTTAGTCAACTAAGAAGCTCTTTAAGTCATTCGTGATTGAATATTAAGACTTATTATCACTCTGAGGATTAAATAAAACGATAATATTGAGTGTTTCATTGAACCAGCCGATGTCAGCTGGTCTTCAACGTGAGAGAACGGAGATGGAAATGGCGGCGCTGATGGCAGGTGTCCAGTATGGTTTGTCATCGCAGAGTAATTTTCACGAAAATAAATCGTTGATATTTGTTAAATTAACGGATTCAGCTCAACGAGCCATTGAAGAGTTTTTAAAGAATCGGGTAAGTCTTTTAAAAAATATATAACCTCTCTTTATCATTACTATTTGACCATCTTGTAAATATTCTTTCTCGTTCTCTTACCACAAGTCCAATCGTCTTCGTGTGAGTTACGTTCATACATGTGTCGTAATGTCTGCGAAGGGGAGACCGTTAGTAGCCATATTTTGTTCAACTTTTCATTTATCTTGACTTTAATCATATCTCAGAGTTACTTATTATTTATTTGTAATTAATGTTGCATCCATTTTTAAGTTTTTTTTCATTCCAACATAACCATCAATTTTAATCATTATTTTTCCTATTTTTTTTCCAGGTATAACACAATCTTTTTTTCCTCCATACGTTTCACTTTTTTTCAGTTGAAATTATTTTTAAATACTGTCAAGATTATTGTACTTTTGATTTCTCTATTTTTAATCATCTTTTGATTATTGATGATTTTGACATGAAATTATTACGTAAGAGATGCTTGTCAGTGACGAATTATTTGTTTCATCGAATCTTCGGGAAGTCTGGAAATTTTGGAGAATTTTCCTATCAAATTTTATCAACTGATTTATTAATCATTCCAAGTAATTAAATATAATATTGAAGGTTAAATGATGATGATGATGATATATAAGGAGTCGAGGAAAATGTTCTACTTGATTAAAGTGTTGCTTTTATGTACGCTTTAGAGAGACGGTTGAGTCATCCAAATTCAAATTCTCTCTTGTGCCAAATTCCTTCAAGCCATCTTCATTCACCTACGTATTGTCATAACTTTGAAAAATATTATTTTAATGATTATTTATCAAAATAACTTCCATATATATTTTATAGGTTAGAATTAATTGATCTTTTTTGAGCTTATGGCGTCTTTCAAGAACTGAATCTTGTGTAGATAGGAAAAGTGAAAGGATATAAGAAGGATAAATGTCCTTTCATTTTATAAACTCAATTATCTTTTTATTATTCTTTTTATTATTAAATATATATTTTGGAAAAACCATTTTAATTATTATTTTCATCTCAATGACTATAAAATATATATATATAAATATAATTGAAATAATTATAACCATATGTTGTATTAACAAATAAAATAATTGTCGGTGTAAATATTGTTGGGAATAACAGTAGAGAGATGAAATGATAAATAAAATAGATTCTTCCTTAATGTAAAAGTAAACTTTAACAGTTTAATGTTAAAATGTATCATAGGGATTAGATCTCAAGTAATCCACCTTACCCCTCCCCCCTCTTTTTGTGCTTTATTTAACGATACATGGATATTCTTATGGTCACGCAAAGTGGGTGTAACACCACAGTAACATAGTAACTTACAATGTATTATTTATTTTGTCGTGCAAGTAATTCATATCATTATCATCATCATACTCTTCACTGTCTCAAGCTACGAAAAGAAGTTTAAATTTTTTTTTTCAAATTTAATTATCAATTGTTGGTTTTAATTACAATATTCAAAGTTAATTAGAAGTTAGAAAAATCATTTGAAGATCAAATTCACTTGCTTTTGGATCAGCTGATAGATTATGAGCTCTAGACCAGGTCTTTTTATCCAATCTCCAACCAAGAGACTTCATTTCTGCTTCCATATGGTATCAAGGTGGACGTTTATCTCCACTGCTAGCTCTAGTTAATCAGAAATAATAAAGAATCCTAGAAGTACAGTTGATAATCAATATCCAATATTCAATTTTGAAGAATATTTGATGATTTAAAATCACCTGGATCTTCAGAAAAAAAAAAATGATAAACAGTTCATTCTTATTTTATAATTGATACATCTGAAGATGTGGCTTAAAACTATGGCTACTGAACTAAATGATTCTTATCATCTGATATAGAATAATAAAAAATAAAAATGATAATAAAGAAATAAAGAAAAAAAACGTACGTATGAAAGACCCAATCTACGTCAGTAGACATAGATGTCAGTGTCCGCAAGTGAATACGTATGCTTATCATAATCAATGTGTCAATACATGGCGTCACACTTGCTGGTCATTGTTAAAAAAAAATAGATAGATTTTTCTAAGATTATATTCAGCTTTTCCATCAACTTCCAACCCTAGTATTAATTCATGCTAGAAAAGCTGTCGAAGTAGAAATATGTTAACATACCTTGGCTCAACAAAACATCAGGTTTGATGATGATAAGTTGAAGCAAACAAAGGCACATGAAAATTAAAAACATCAAGTGATATTAAAGTAAACTACTTTACTTCTAATTCCTTATCTATATATATCTAAAGTAGAACATTAATTATCACTTTATTGAAGTAATCTTTTATTAAATATTTCTATGTTATTACAAACTCTGACGTTTTCATTCTTGGTATATTCACTTGGGATTTCCCCTTCATCAGAATTCATGATATGTTACTACATGGTTTGCAATATCATGTGTAATATTGAAGCATCAACCAACATATTGACATTAGACATCTTGGATTCTTCAAAAGAATTTTTATGCTTACTTCTTAGATGAACATCTGTTTTTACTGGGTTTGGTCCTAATAATTCTCTAAACATTCAAGTTCTTCATGGCCCTTTCCGCATCATTCTATTCACCTTCCCCCCCTCTTTTTGGAACCGTTTACTTACCTCTGGCATTTTCAGCAGCTGTCTGGCTGTCCATTCACTCATTTAGGTGGAAATACATTCAGATAGAAATTTTTGGTTGATCAAATAAATCTTCTTGATGTTGCTGATGATTTTCTAACCTAACTATCTATTCATTTAATTTTTTTCCTTTCATTCATTCATCAACATTTAATCATTTTGATTGTGAATTAGGTTATGTAAGAGACTTTTCTTTTAAATGTTGGATAAAATGATTTTTTTTTCTGTATCACGTGGGGTCATGCTAGCTTGCAGGTTTGTCATTGTGTGTTTTTTAAATGGAATGATTATTGGTGAAATTAGAATGCATCATGTTGGAATTAGATAGGAAGTTGATGATGATTATTGATAAATTCTTTGGATATAAATGGATCTACTGATGCTTAGAGATTGGAGATATGGTTTGAGCACCCCTGGCCCTTTCGCTCATCAGTCACATGCATTCTCTCAACTTTCGTATTATTATGACCGGTTTCGCCGACAAATCCTTATCTTGATATCTGTCTAATTTTCTTACTGAAGGATTTTAAGGAATTTTAATCCTTTTTATCATTTTTTTTTTAATCTCATTATTTGGCTTGATTCTAATCAATTCGTATTGCTTTTCTAATCAACTTTTGTCTGGTTAATAATTTATTATTAATTTAAAAAATGGATTAACTCAGTCGGTAACTTGAAAAATACACAATTTGAAAAAATAAAATAAGTTAAAATGTAAGATTAATTTTGTTTATTCAACTTCATTAACTTCAGAAGTTTCTGACTTTTTTTAAAGTCTTTTAAATTATTATCAATAGAGTAAAGTGATAAAAAATATTGAATAAATTGTATTATATGATTTTTATCATTTAATTATGTTTGATGATTAAGTAACATTTGTTAGTTTTATAATTCTTTCTGTCATCATAATTTTACCAAGAAATTTGATTGATACCAAGGTATTTCTTGAATTCCACTTGATCATAAATAAATTCACGTGGAGAAAATGGTTAATTAATTTCGAAACTATTATTTAACATTATGTGAATGTTGCATTTTAATTCTCTATTACAAACTCTTTCACACCTTTTCCATGTAAACATTTTTATTTCAATTTTTAGTCTTAAAAAAAATTTTTATTTTCTTTAGACATTTTATTTATAACCTCTTTTTTG